AAACTCAAAAAATCTTCTCAGTACTTCTGTAGCAAATGATGTTTACACCACAGAGCCAAAATTTAATGACGCTAAATATTTTATCTGACCACCAGTGAGCTGCACAAATAAAGCACGACATTGCACTGCTTCAGATGTTAGCTCTTAACACCATAGCAGCGTATCCCAGCTAATAATGGGATACAGCAAAGCCTGTCATAATCATCTGTCCTGTCCCAAAACAGCTGCTTTGCCAAGATTGTTGGTACCTAAAGATTGAACACTGTCACCCTTGAAATAGTGTAGTTATTTTACAGTAGTCACATAAACTCAGCAGCTGCAAGTACAGGCAGGATCTAGCATAGCTTTTGCAGGATACAAAATTTATAGATTCTTGCAAAATTAGGCCAGCAACGCAGAGGGGCCAACGAAAACCTTCTGTTCACGATCTGTGTGCATTGCAGTCCTTTTGCGCCTGTTTCCTCCCCACCTGTCTTTTCCAGAGCTGTCATCCTCCCCAGCCCATCTCTTAGTGACTCGCCTTCTCTTCTGCACTTTGCTGCTGTTACCACTGCCATGTACAGCTGGGGCACAGGCAGGTCCCAGCAGCCGGGTGGAGAGCTCTGTCATTTTACCACCAACATAGCAGCTGGAACAGGTTGGAAGTTAGGAGAAAACTGCACTCAAACAGGCAAGCTCACCCAGAAAAGCTCCATAGCAATTACAAAAATAAGTCAGGCAATATGTTGAAAACACATATGCACAAGAGGGAAAAAGAGGTGGTTCCTGGAGGAAAATCATCAAGTACTTCACTTCATAGCAAAATAACCTGCTACCTTTATCCTGCAAAGGAGACATTAAGTCAGTCCTTCACTAACAGTAAAGGAAATCAAAGTCCAATTCCATCTTGCATTTGACTTCTTCATTTTGTGAGCCTGCTCTGCGAAGCATTAGGCTATTGCTGTCCTTTGTCAGCACTCTCCTTTCCAGAGCCTCTCCTGCTCTTCCCATACACAGCTCCTGCCTTTGTACAATTGAAGCCTGGAGGCCATCCCTGCTGAGGAGCACAACAGTTGTCCCCAGCGCTGACTTACTGCCAAGTAAATAAGCAGTGTTTGGCCTCGGCTGCATCTACCCGGACAGGGCTGGCTTACATCTCTGGGAGGCTGAAAACAGGACTGGTTAATAAAATAGGGCAGAAACACCAAAGTTCCAGTCAAGCTAACTTAGTGCTAGCAGTTCTGGAAGCAATCACAGAGCTAACCACAAGCCCAGGACCAGCCATGCTGTGTGACACTCTTACTGCAGGATGAGGGGATATTGGCACAAAAAACAAGACTTAAGGAATGAAGTACAGCACATTGCCGATCTTCTTAAGCAAAGCTTGGTTATAAGAAGACTGGGACCCAGGGCAGTAAAAGGCAGCAGGCTGACCTGTGGCAGATGTAGACATGTACACAAGGAAGCCTCAGATAAATTACACCAAAGAGCAACCACTAGAATGAGCACAAGTGTCTCAAAAGGCTCATATATGAAGAGTGGACCAGAGCAATAACTAACTGGGAGAGGGCCATAAAATTATTTCCACTTACAGTGCTGAAATTTTTAAAGTGAATCAGATAAACATCGAGTATTAGTATTCAAATAGATATGAGAAATTTGTTACTTTTAGATCATTAAAACCTGAATATTAAGTGCGTTATGCACATACTGCAGTCCTTTGCAACAAAACACAAAATACATTAACAATTTCCATTCCCTGCATTGTCTTCATGCAAAGGCGTGAGAAAAGGAAAGATGTTTTATTCAAGAAAAAAACCTGAACACTGCATGGAAAAGAAAACAGCTTACAAGGCATAAATATAAAAATATGTAAGAGAGCTGAGAATACATTTGCTGTCAAATTCGTATTCCAGGAAAAGGACACTGAATTAAATGTTCTGCCAAAAGCCTCACGGACTCAAATAAGTGATGAGGTATAAGAAATTTGCTACAAGATAAGCTTCCACACTGCTATTCTAAGCAATCTGAGCAGCATCAAGAATACCAAATCTCAGTATCTGCTCTAAAAAAACCTTTTAAATATGTCTGGAACTGTTGGCTTTCATTACGTTATCATAAACATCTTTATCTCTTGCATCTAAAGCAGTCATTTATACAAGACTTTTAAAGTACCTTAGTACATTCGGTCTCACTTAGCTCAATTAGTGGAGAGGAAAAGCTGGCACGTGGGGGTGTCGCCCAGCTTGGCAAAAGTGCATTTTTCTCCAATTCTTATAGTAAGGAGACTCACCAATCTTTCCAGTACTGAAGTTATAATTAATATATCTTTTTCCAGTTACTGAGTTTCTGGTCACCTTTACTCACCCCACAGATACGTTCCGTCCTTAATTATGCAGGTTTTCATTACTGCTCTAGCCAATTCTACATTGTAGATAACTCAGTCTCCCCTTTACCTCGTCATTTAAAACAAACTCCTCAAAGCAGCAAATAAGAAACTGTGCCTTAAGTCTGCATGGGGCTAACAAATCTATAAATATTCATTTATCACAGGTACTCACACCCCACACAAACCTCGGTTTTGGTCATAGCACACCTCAACTTTGCAAAATTTTGATATTGATTCTAGTGTAACCTCTCTTCAGCTTCACCCCTGCAGTTTTCCTCCAAGCCACTTCCTACAGCCTGGATTTTCTGCTCCTCACCTTGTATTAACTTAAGGCTGAGATCTTACAGGGAGAGCCTCAGGGACAAGACTCTGAAACCCAGAGAAAGCTCCACAGAAGTTTCTCTCTCCAGTACCCAATTCTCTCCAACCATTTGTCTGCTCATCTCTCCCATTCCCTCCCTTCTCACACCATAACAGTAATGGTTATGGCTCCCTTCAGTTCTTCATCAACCCAAATGTCCAGAAATTCTTACCCACAAGTCAGATGGCTCCTCTAGCTGCTTCCCCAAGATCCTCTGAAGAAAACTGCAGCAAACCACCCGAGCACTGAGAAGGGGCAAAGCAAGACTCATCTCCTCCTGTTCAAAAGCATCACCTAGCATCCCTTCCCCATTCCCAGAGACACCACTTGCCAGAAATGGTGGTAGGAGCATGACGTGAACCAGCAGGTCTGCTGAACAGTCAACTCCTTTTCCTCTGCCCATAAAAACCATTGGGAACAGCCTCCAACCATTTCAGCAACTGGTAAAAGCTGCTGGTCTGCTTCAAAGGGTGGCGGATTTCTTTTCTACTTCTTCCAACATGTCCCCTGCTACATGGAAATGAGCAAGAAAGTGTCTGTTCCACACGAGTTCTCTTCCCCCAGTCTCCTCTCCCCTTTCCCACAGACAGCTAGAACAACAGGGAAATACCGTAGAGGCAGACAGAATTTGTACACCACTTTATTACACTGCTGAAGACTGGGAATCAGTTCTGGCAACAGCCTTTTTTCTGTTACTTAGGCTGAAGAAGTCAACAGTACAATGTTATTATTACAAGGTCACTGTCACACAGAGGGAACCACACAGACTCTCAATACTGTCACTTGCAACTTGGTCCTGTTGGAAGTGCAATTCAAGCTGCAAAGTGTAACACTGTTACAACCAGCTGCCCTCTCATTGCTGGTATACTTGCAACTCCCGTTATTTTCCAATGGCAAAGAGCAGTCTCTAATCTTTTGGGAGTGATACTGCAGTCAGACTAAGACTTTAGGTGAAAGGCAGTAGCACATATATTTGCAACAGACTAACATAATTACAGCAAAGCATGGAAGGTTCTATTCGGCACAAAGTGGAAAGTTGGAGCTTACATTTCAAGAGCAGAACATGTTTATGTGACTGTAAAGAAATCAGTACTTGCAGCAAAAGGCAAGACAAGTTACCATAACCAAGAACAGGAATCAGTAGAAGCCATGTCTGCAACGGTATATTTTATATTTCAGTCTTAACAGAAACCAACATTTTGATTTAAACTCTCTTTTAAAATAAACCCGGTGGTGTTACACCTTACACAGTGTTAACTAAGGATCTGACTTCACCACACTTATATACATCAGACAGCAGACTCACATCAGCCCTCCTGAATTCCCATGAAAGTGCTCATACAACTGCATAGCTAACAGTCAGAAGAATCACGCAATATAAGGCTACAGGTACAGCTAAATTGACCCTTTTATTGTATTTGGAAATACTGATTTCCAAAATAAAGCACTTTCAGGGTAACTAGAACATATACTTTTTCCAAACCTGCAGTCTAGAAGTGGTGAAAGGGACATTTTAGAATGAGGTAAACATACTGCATAGGCTATATATTTAAATCCAAATTCCAAAAGTGACCTGGCTTAATTGCGAAATTGTTTAAAACAGAAAGAAAAAAAATACTTATAAAAATCTGAAAAGAAACCCATGTTGACCCTAACAGCAAATTAGAAAATAACCCATTTACAACAGGCATTTGGTACTGCCTTTTTTTTTTCCCCTCAAGTCAGCCAGCCAAAAGCACAATTTGAAAAGAGCTTTGCTGCTTTTTTCCATGGAGCTGTTTCTTCTAGAACACCTGCTCAACTTCAGCTTGTCTCCTTCAGTTAATCTGAGCCAAGACTGGTACCAGACACACAAGGTCACAGCACTCCAGTGAATATTTGCCTTCCAGTCCATGCTGCAGCTTTTCTTGCCCCAGTCTGCATTTTGGAGAAATCACAAAGCTTTATGACACAGGGTGTTCAGAATAGAGACTGGTGCTTAACTGAGAGCGTCAGAGACCTCAATTATAATTTTAAACCATTTTAAAACTAAGTTATAATTCCTTTTTGTGATTCTTGTATTTTTATTTAAAATGTGCCCTTGCAGGTTTGTTTTTAATATTCCCTTGTATCAGTGTTTAGTTCCCAGAAATCATTCCTGTCAGGCAACGCAGCTGTCTGAAAAGATAGTATCTTCCATCCTCACCACATTTGCAATAAACTCTGGAGAAGACAGTCAACAATTACACTAAGATAAAGTGCATATATTCCTTTCTGATACAGGCAACAAAGTTGTGGACTGCAAAAATAAATCATGCTGAAAACTGAAAACCACACACTCAAAAAATCCTGCTGTGGCCATTTAGCAGCCCACAATTAAGTTATGCCACCGATTACTGCCCAAAAATACTTTCTTCAAGTGTCTGTTAGCTTAAAAAAAAGGTACGAATAACATTAAAAATAATGGTTCCTTTTTAATTAGACTCTGAGAATCTTATATTTATGTAATCCTTGAAAGCCACAACTCCCCCAAGGCTGACGTACTGCCTTGACAACTTGTAAGCAGTTTGTATTTTACCCTTTGGATCCAGGTTTCAAGCTTGCAAAAGCTTTGGAGTTCTTAAGGGAATGTGAAATTTCATTGAGAAAAGAAATAAAATGATAGTCCCTTTCTGACTTCTTGGACTCAAAAATAACTACAATGGTAAAGTGAGGTTCAGGGCGAGTCAGAAAGTACGTGCTTTGGACTTTGTCGTCGTAGAAGTGAACAACCTTCTCCAAACTGTTGAGGTCAGAGGTTCTATCAGTCATAATCATGATTACATTAGGCCAGTGCATGACAGGCCTATCACTGGGCAGAGACACCACTGCAGGGTACTGATCCACTCCTTTCGGGGCTTCCCTGTAAGAATGGGGGTGATGGTAACCATGTCCCTGAAAACTCTCTGATCCACGATTGTCAAAGATTAAGGAAACGTTGATGGCATCATACTTCCGGATGAAGCTGGAAATTTTCCCAAAGTAATCAGGGTTTGTTTTAGCAGTCAAAGTTTTCATTTCAGATGCTGTTGTTTGGCGACTAAGAGCCTCGTGAAAGTAAAAGCTAAACTTGGCAAGGAGAATGTTTTTCAGCTTCATCAGCCAGAGGAAGAGGTGCGGAGGTTGCACAGCCTTCTGAGACTGCCCTCCAAACAGATGCTTCTTGGTTTCTCGCTGTTTCTCAAAAATTTGGCCCCAAGTCTGTAGCTTTGTGTGAGCACTGTGCAAGTTGACCAAGGATGGAAGGAACTTCCACTCTGAGATCTGAGCCTGAGCCTTTAAGAGATGTGCAAGCACATCTACTTCCAGCTGGAAACTGCTTTCAAGGGGACTGAGGATTGGATGATGAAATCTAGAAAACATAACATTATTCAAGACATGAGAACTGCTGTACACAACAATGAAATAAGCAGATAGCATATGTCAATTTACAGACAGAACACCAAACATCAAAGCAGAGTAAACCAAAAAAAACCTTGCTAATTTTAAAAAACAGTTCTTCTAACATAATTAGGGGAAATATTTTAATGAAAATACAGCACTTCGTATTTGACAAAAATACCTGACAGACATTTCTCTATCAAAGCAAGGAAGTTAACATTCGATCAGTTCAAGAACAATCACTATTTATCTTGATCCATGAACTACTATAGCAGCATTTCTCTTTAAATTCAGGTGGTTTTGTTCCAATTTAGAATCCCTTTCTGTGGTAAAATACGTCTTGATAACATATTACTGGTATTCCAGAACTAAGTTAAATCAAAGAAATTATGTTATAATTGAACATTAACCAGGTCTCAAACTTCAAACCTTGGTGTACTAAAGCAATGAAGGGGTAAAATATTTGGCAGGTTTCATCATATCACAATGAAGATGCTGTAACAATCAATTTCTCTCTCGCTAAAAATTCAGGTCAAGATCAGCTCTCAATTGAACAGATTTAAACAAACAATCTCATCTACCAGGCAGAAGTGCCACTGCACATCTTATTTGCAAAAGTGATCCTACTATTAAAACAAATCTTGATGAAGAGGAATTTTATAGATCTCTTCTATTACTTTCTCTTCTCCATTTTTTCTAAACGTCAGGGGAAAAAAAGAAAGATCCAGCATACCTCCCTCCCCTTGATACTCAAATTACTTGTACATTCATAACATAAGCATTGATAAATACGTAATTCAAACTCTGCAAAACTGTTCCAGTTACAGAAGCTAAATACTTAACTTCAGAAACAATGAGTCTCCAGCAAATACAGAAGTGGCCTTTCTAATAAATGTGTTCCTTAATAGGCATTCAGGACTCTTGAAGAGGTCTAAAAGTGCAACCAGTAGTTCAAAGACAAGGCTTGATGAGGTTTCCATTTAAGTAAAGGTAAATCTATCTGCTCACTTCAGAAAAATATCCTGGGTCTTGTTATTATTTTAAAACAGCGAAGTTCATACTGCATCCTTCCAACCTTTAACAGCTCATCTTTAGAAAAAGTGAAGTTATTCCCCTCAGCTTCCAGGACACAGTATATATAATAAATCTTGGAAATACTTGGTTTGAAACTAAAACATTTACTTTTGTTGTGGATCAGAACAGAGAATGAGAATTTTGAGCTTTTCACACCTTCTCCCTTATTTGTTTTTTTTTTTTTTACTTTCCATCAAGCTCTTGCCAAAACATTAATTCTTAGGCTTGTGAAAACTGTCTGACAATTTTAGCACTACTCTGAAGCGTATTTTTGTTTGACAGCCACAATACATGTCTTGAAAGGATTTGCTATTAAGAAGCAAGTCCAAAATTATTTGAAGTAAATGAAATTATGGATACAATAAACTAGTTGATGGACCATGCTCTGCAAACAGGCTGGGTCAGGTGCCCAGGCACCTTCTGTACACAGTATCCATCAGCGACCATCACATCCACCTGCTATAGCAGAGTTACAGTGATTACTGCCTACTTTGGTGGGCTGAGAAGTTCACAGCACATTTACATTTCTTTGAACAAACAAGAGCCAATTCAAAACAGTATTCTGCTAAAATTACATATTTCCAATGGTTTTGGTATTCATCAGAAAAACAGTTTTGTTGCCATGTATCAGAAGAGGGGGGAAAAATCATTATGCAACATGACTTGTTCCAGATAGCCCCATCAAGTGCCCACAGCACAGTAGTTTCACCACACCTGCAGTCAGATCAAGAAGGTTATTCTTCAACCTTAAAAGCAACTAAAAAATTTACACTAATGCAGCACTGCCATGTCTCCTGGATTAACATTATAATGTACAGCTTCCCAGTTCTACTTTGCTTCATGGCTCACAGCTATTTTCACGTTTCACTGCACAGCAGGGTTTGCTAAACTGTTTTAATCCAAAAATACAAACCTCAGCCACAGCTGAGAAGCTTGATATGGTTGCAGAGTAAATTAACAGGTTATGTACTCAGTGTATATGCTCTTATTAACTTTCATAACACAGAAGCATCTGACTGAGCTCAGTATCACTTAAAACTGACAGGTTTTTAAAGTATTTCAATAAGCCAGAGTGTCAAGAACTTGAAAACACACTGGAAGTTTTTTTCTCCCCTAATCATTCCCAAAAGCAGAGGGATGCTAAAGTTTTGTTTTGCAGACTATGAAGAAGCCTCATTTTTCTACAACCTTTTATTTCCTTCCATAGATCACACATGCATGCACGTATTTACAAAATGCTGACTAGATGAAAAACATTTCACTCGTAAAAATAATTACATTAAAATAGGTTTACTAGATAGTTATTCATTTTATACTAAACTTGTAAAGGATCCTGCTTCTGATGCTGTTTTGATTATTCCAAACAAACAGTTAAAAAAAAAAATCAGGAAAGGTTACTTCTCCAGCTGTATTCTATAGAAAAACAGAGGGGAAAATGTCTAGTACTGGTTGTGTACAAGTCAGCAATAAGTAATAATAAAGTACCTTTAAACTGTTCAAGAGTTAATGATCTTTCAGAGACAGACAATATGACTTGATTGTTGACAATCAATTAATTCTGCCATTCCTTTACCAGCAAGCAGTCATTTGCTCTACATTACCTGAACAGCTATTTTTTAGATGTAAAGATGTTAATGAGATCGCTCATTAACCCAAAGAAAGATCATCAGTATTTTTCCCAAGGAGACACCATTTATTTTTTAAAGAGGTTATAACAATGTCTTAGAAGCACAGACACATCACTGAAATTTATTTAAAAAGCATAGTAAAACATGTAATGTGTAACAGTCTCTGGTCACTGTGTCAAAGTATCAGTTTTAGTTTTCAGATTTTTAACAGTGCTGTTGACTCAGCACATGCTCAGAACAGATGGTGAGGGTTAGCGTACAGCATAAATCAACTTTAAAAGAAACCAACTTATTTCCTCTTTCATGTTTACTGCACCAAGAAAAAAATAAGTAATTTTCATTTTCCATTGTACTAACAACCCTGATATTGTAAGGGTTCACAAACCCAGAATTACAAAAAGCAAAACCAACCAAACAAAAAACTCACTAGTAAGATCATGTAGACTAGTCTTGATTTTCAAATTGCAGAATTATGTAGCAACTTGCCCAAGTTATTCCTAAAAAAAATATGGGACTCAGCTGCTGTGCTTAGATTTGGAATGCTAGAAAGCAGCACTATTTTGACTTTTCCTAGGTATACACTTTAAAAATTGTAACTGAAAAAAATAAAACCTCAGAATATTTTCCCCAAATGTCTTCTTAGACTCTACTTCACTAACAAAGATTTTTTAAAATCCAATTACTTTTGAAAGTTAACTTCCTACAATAGCTATCTTGTTTTGGTATAAAACAAGGAGCTAGAATTTGAGTCCATTGACAAGCATTCAAAAATTTTCTCCTTTTTAAACTGTCATCACTTTCAAGGCTGATAATTCAGATGTGAAATACCCATCCCAGACACATTTAGAAACACCCTAGGATTCTTCTAACAGGAGCTTTAGATCTCAACTTCAAGAAACCATAAAGGCAGGGACCAAAGATTCAGAGGTGCTCTTTCTACTGGTTCCAATACCTCTGAAGTGCTACAGTAGTGTAGCACCCTAAAAACCCTACTGGGTAGACCAGATAATTCTAAAAGCTACACCATAGCTAAGCAGACATATATTCTAGTCTAAAAATAAAATCGTCACACAAATATCCACTTATATATCAATTTTAGTGAATTTCATACAGTCTTACGTCTTTCATGAGGAAAAGTACTCTTCTTCTTTGCTGAACATGAACAAGCCAAGTATTAGTTAAGGAATAGGGAAGATGGCTCCTAGAACATGATGTGCAGGAACATTCTCCCTTTTTATTTTTCTTCTTCAGATGAGTCATATGTCAAGACTTTGTGCATCTGATGCTGCTGACCACCACTGACTTCATGCATGAATTCATGCAAAGGGCTGTGCTGCTCAGCAGTCAAAGGACAGCAAAGTCTTTAGGCTTACTTTGAACCTCAACATCATTTATTACAGATCATATGTCCGAGTACTTACTGCCAGCAAATAAGCACTGACCTTGAGCTGTATTTCTTTAAGATGGATTCCAAAATGTTTACCAGTTCCTCAGAGTTAATGAACTTTTGGGTGCTGAGCGTGTACATTTTTTCATAGAAGTCAGCAATTTCCATCCGAGCCTGAACAAAAAAACAGAGCTGTTCAGACAGGTGAGAAAGCAGCTCTTCCAAGTGAGGAGCTGTTCCTCCTAGTGCATTGCGACCCGTCGCCACCACCTTCTTCAGCTCATTATGCAGAGATGTGTAGATGGTTCGGATGGAGTCCTTTCGGCTGAAGAATGACTGACCACCTGTTCAGATAAATATGGAGGTATTACCAAAATCCAGGGACAGCAAAGATAGACAGCAATACTGGAAAACTGAATATAACCACGCTTGATTTCCCCTAGGTGTTCCTAAGCGTTGTTCAATCACAGTATTTTTATAATCAAGACACAAATACGAGTGTATTATTTTGCAAGTAACTGAATTACATATAGGATATACTCAGAAGCACTTAATGTCATTTCATGCAAGTTACACTTGTCCTAACTCCTATCTCAGTGGCCAATGACTGCTCTAAAATTTCAGCTCCCTCACATCTGCCTCAGTTACGGTATGACCTTTCAGAATACAAGGGTTCAGTTAAATGTGCTACTATGATACATGACCTGGAAATACTGTTATCTGTGGAAGTCAGAAGAACCAAGCCATCATGAAATTTCAGCTGCCTCCACTGCTGTATTAATAACTCTAGATCTCTTCAAGAGAATTCTCTAATAATACCTCTTCATTCATGAAGCACTCAAATGTACAAAGCAACCTTTAAATGGGAACCATATGACATTTGTGTGCACAAACCAAATGTTCCAAGTCGCTACACAAATTTTAATATAAACCAGAATTCAAAGGGAAAACAATCACAGTTTATCCCAGTAAGTCCACAGTGCAGGTGAATCCACAGCTAAAACGAGCAGGGAGGGGTGATGCTGAAGAAAGACAGTGCTTCTCTCTACCTGCTCAACACTATGAGGAATTTTTAAAAAATAAAAATTTACAGAAGTAGAGGGTCAAAGTAAAAGATACTTGACACTATCAAAAGACTGTACAAAGGTACTACCCTTATTTCATAATTTCTTTTTACAGGTGGCCTTACATGCCACTCTGGCACTCAAGCTACAGTGGAGCAGGGACTGAATCTGCGTAACTTTTAGATTCCAAATTTAGGCTTAACTTAGAAACCACTTATATATTTTGTAATAATGGTGGATAGTCTTTTTCACATTAAATTCCTTTTTAAACTTGACTTTCAAAAGTGACCTTAGCAATTTGAGGCAGACAACTGGTTATCACAGTGAAAGAGCTGCCTTCCTAAGCCAAGAGTTGCCCACAAGTCATTCGCAGGATGAAGAATCATCTGCTGCTGTTGCTCCTGAAGTATATAAACAAACAAAACTTTGTCCCTTCTGTTGTTAATTTTGTCCTTTCTGCAAGCACCAAATTCACTTTTTAAAGTCAACTTCATAGACAGAGTTTTTTTCTGCAAAAGTCTTCTTATAAAATAGTTCAAAGTCAGCACTTAAAACAGCAAAGCAGAATTTTCTTGAAGCTTTACTGCATTACGCATCAGACTTCTACCCCTTGATCCATTTTCCATGCCATGCTGCAGTTCAAAGAGGAAATAAGCAGCTTTGCCCAGAGGGCAACATGATGACAGCTCGTTCTACGCCAGCTTGGGATTTTTTTCTATTCACACACTGAGAAAGTGAGAAGGAGCCAAGATCATGGCCAAACCTTCCTGAGATCCTGCAGAGTCTACATGAGTAACAATTTTTAGGAGGCTATCTCCAGCCTGACTACTCAGACATGCACTTGCACATATGCAGTTCTAATATCAGGCCCTGGAACTGTGATGTGAAAAAGCTTTAACTCTCCGTTCACCCCACTGAGCTCACGTTTGGCAGTCTCAGCCAGAGCATCCCAGCACAGAAACGCCTCTGGCTAAATCTTGGCAGGTCCCCCCAGCCAATAAAAAAATGCACCAATTCGCACAGCTACTGTGCCTCCTGCGCGACACCTGCACTGTCATTTACTCTGCGGGGGCAGCCCAAACGGCACGGCCGATTTTACATTGGGCCATGGACACTCGCTGACCCAGCACCCGTCTTTCAGACACACCTCACCGAGGCCAGGGTCCTCGGGTTCCTCGCACTGCGCAACTACCGGATAACAATCACCTCACGGGGCTGCAAGATCACCTCACGGGCGGCGCCCGCCCCTTCCCTGCCGCGCTGCCGACACCCTCCGACCTAAACCCGGGGCAGGCCGTGAGGGCAGGCACCTCAGCAGCGAACTCAGGCATGAGAGGGGGGCGGCCCGGAGGGGAGCAGGGAGCCCGAGGGACGAGGGAAGCGGAGAAGGAGCCCTCCCCCAGGGCGCGAATGAGGCAGCCCGGCGGTACCTAGCTTCTGGCCCAGGAAGGTCATGCTGTGGTAGGCCTTCTCAGCGGCGGCCAGGTGCG